AGGAGAAAGCCCCCCCCCCCCCCCCCCTCATAGTTCTGCTTTAAATCTTCTACTTTGTTTATCTTTCCAACCTCAATAAAGACAGAATATACAGCAATATAGCGGCCGTATCTCAGGTCTGGTCCTCATTAGGAGTTCAGGAAATGTATTGTGTTTTTTTTTTTATCACATAGAGCTTTACTATGACTCCCCCTCTTGGCTTGGATTACCCGTCACCCTCTGTATTGGGATATTTCAGGTGCTCCATGCAGCAGGAGTGCTCCAATTCTGAAGACAACGCTTTCTGGACCAGCCCAAGAGGAGGGGTGCAGCAGTGCCCAGCGGTCGGGATTATCCCTGATAGAATCGACATCACCTCGGAGACTCAGGTGAGGGCTGTGTGGGATGGTGGCGGGTAACTTCACTCGGCTGATCAGCATTGGTCTTCACACTGTGTTATTGAATCTTCCTGTTCAAATGCTTTTGGGATCTATAGATCTTCCTTTTGGAATGTTTATGGATCTTTAGATCTCGGTAGAATTTTTTTGGATCTATTGATCTTAGTGGAATGTTTTTTTGAATCTATAAATCTTCCTTTTGGAATGTTTTGGGATCTATAGATCTCAGTGGAATGTTTTTGGGACCTATAGATCTTATTAGTGTAATGTTTTGAGTCTCTATAGATCTTCCTAGAGGAATGTGTTTGAATCTTTAGATCTCAATGGAATGTTTTGGGATCTATAGATCTTCTTAGTGGAATGTTTATGGGATCTATAGATCTTCTTAGTTGAATGTTTATGGGATCTATAGATCTTCTTAGTGGAATGTTTTTGGATCTATAGATCTTCTTAGTGGAATGTTTCTGGGATCTATAGATCTTCCTAGTGAAATGTTTTTGGATCTATAGATCTTCTTAGTGGAATGTTTATGGGAGCTATAGATCTTCCTTTTGGAATGTTTTTGGATCTATAGATCTGAGTGGAATGTTTTTGGATCTATAGATCTTCTTAGTGGAATGTTTATGGGAGCTATAGATCTCAGTGGACTGTTTTTTGATCTAGAGATCTTCCTAGTGATTTTTTTTTAAATCTATAGATCTTCCTTTGGAGTGTTTTGGGGATCTATAGATGTGCCTATTACAATGTTTCTGGGATCTATAGAATAGAATAGAATGTTTTTGGGATTTTTGTATCTTCCTAGTGGAATGTTTTTGGAATCTATAGATCTTCCCAGTGTGGGATTTTTGTATCTTCCTAGTGGAATGTTTTTGGGATCTATAGATCTTATTAGTGGAATGTTTTTGGATCTCTAGATTTTCCAAGTGGTATATTTAACTTAAAATGATTTTTCTTCCATTTCCTCCCTAGACAATCCTCCTCCAAATCACAGGAAACCTCCCCCGTCTTGAGTCAATGAACTCCTCTTGCGACTACGGGAATGGCGTTCACTTGCCGGCCAGGATTGTGCATGACAATGAACAACAGTGGGCTCACTGCTCCTTCCTTCCACAGGAAAAATTTCCAGAATTCCCCACAAACGAAGGTACGGCATAACACTCTCGCCCGGTCCATGCGCGGTAGCCCGCGGTGCCATATTGTACCATTTGTTGCATCTTTCGTCAGCAGCCACATTTAGGATTGGCTGTAGGCGTTTGAACAGTAGCCATGTCGGGAATCCCTCGGAAGGTCAGAAGGTTGTCACGGCTAACATCCAAATTGCTGTGAAATTGCGGTGATAATTTGGGCTATTACTATAGTAATTCTACACGGTTTTGTTTCACAAACCATTTGCTGTTCGTGACCTTTGGGTGCACGTCTGAGGAATAATCACAACCACAGTGAGCTGAAATTAAAGAGGAACACCCGGGAAACAAGTCAAATCCATCAATGACCTGTCAATGTTTTACGGGACTTTCCCTTTAAAGGGAACCTGGAGAAACTGGGAGGCTGCCATTGCTGACCTCCTGCTAATGTTATTTTCCTGGCGAATACCTGGAACATGCGTGCAGTCAGTGAAGTCTTAGGAAAGTACATCTCTGTTCCTGAGGTCATTTACATAGGACGTTCCAAAGCCATTAGACCTGTGTGACAACCAGGCAACTGAGACCTTGAATAGCCATTCTATGGTACAGGTTTCCTTTGTGACTGCAGTATGCCTCATGCACAGAGTTTTGTGTGGTGAGATCCTTCATTAAAGGAGAACTATAAGGGGAGTGAAAATCACTAATTTTCATAGTACGAGCCGACGTGTGACAATGAAACTGTCACACGTCGGCTCAATAGATCGGGAAGTGAGCGAGCACATACCGTCGCTCCGCTCACTTCTCGATCGTCTCCCTGCAGAGAGCTGTGACTGCCAGTCATGGCTCCCTGCAGGGATTCCCCCCCTCCCCGCTCTGATCCTCCAGCGTGACTGGCGGAACGGACGGGGGAGGGTACAGCTGGCTCTGCCTCTAGATAGGCAGAGCCAGCTGTCACTCACGCAGCTGAGCGGATCTCGACAGTAATGTCGGGAACCGTCACTGGCTGCGGCGGTCTCAGTATAGCGCGAGCTGTAGCTCTCGATATACTGAGCTTTGGGTCACGAGAGGACGCTAGTTTTTGTCCCCCCGTTACCCTTAGGAGAACTATGGGGAAAAACACTGACCCCATAGTTCTAACTTTAACATTGCAGTTGAGAATGAGCAATGCACACCCATGCACATTCCTAGTTCTCAGACCTCATTTTCAATGTTACAAATTGGTTATGTAAGTTAAATAATTCGAATAACTGATATATGTTGATGTTGCTAAGTCTGGTCGGGGCATCTAAGCTTTAATGGCTTCTGTTCAGGAAAGAGATCACTCAAGTTTTAGATGAGCCATTGCCGGCAAATTAGCCTATTTGAAGAAACGTACGCAGATCCTGATTGGTCAGTTCTGTGCTGTGCAACCTCCTTCTTCTGCTCTGCTGAGTGTGTGAATGAGGCTGAACGGGGTTTAGACAGAGGGCATTGCTAGAACCTGGGAACAATCTGCACTTTCAATACCCGCTCCAGAAGAGGAGGATACCAGGAACCATGACATCATGGCGAACAGTCATAGGAAATGTTCCATTGTAATTAAAAACCGCGCTCATTTCATTGAGCGTCAGAGGACTGCCAGCGTGTCGCGTGTTCATTTCAGTTGCCAAAGGAGAAACAATTTCCTCTTTTTATTATTAAATTGCGAAGCATATCCTTTATTTCTTTTTTTATTAAACCCTTCGGCTGGTTCAATGATTGAGTCGGCGCTTTGCTTTGCAATGCAAAACCTCGACGGATCTTTCAATGACTTATTAATGACATTTGTCCCATTTTCTATAATCGGCAGATCATGTGAACGTGACGCTGGGTGTCACCGTTGGAGGGATCCATATCGCCGAGAACAATTTCGTCATCTATGACTGTGAGAGGACCCAGAACATCCATCCTAAAACCTCGTAAGATATCCACAGGCCGCTTTTAATGCGATGACTCTCTTTTGCATAGTTTGAGTTTGAATCTGAATATCTCAACGTTGTTAGCAATGAAAAGCCACGTTCATGAATGTAATGTATGTTGGCGGAGCGCAGGACCCCAGGGTAGGCCGAAATGAAAAATCAGAAGGCAACTTTTAGAGGGAATCTCTGTTAGGGATGAGCTTAGGTTGCAAAAAGAGTAGGGATAAGCTACCCAGCCTGGTCTGGACATGAGCTCCTCCCAACCTGGAAGGAAGTCTCTACTTCCACTGCCAACAAGATGTTTGACCAGTTGAGCAATCTTTATAAAACAAAAATATTCTGTCTTGGATTGGCAATACTTGGGCAGTAACCTCCCCAAAACAGTGGCTCTTCTTGAACGGGGTCACCTGAGTTTGGGGGCCACCACCGTCCTTCCCCATGGTGACAGCTGTCTCCAGACTCTGCCGCCCATAGAGGAGTTGGAGATCTGTGCGGTAATGAGTGCCTGGGGCTTGCGTTATCACCCTGTAGGACATTGGAAATGGCCCAATTATTGCAAACACGGCTTGCACTTGCTTTCATTAGGCAGCTTATGGACTAGCTAATCAGGCTAATAGGGTTGTATTTTTTTAACCCTTTCACTGTGTGCTGTGGCCTCCGGCATTCACATCTCTTTTCCTGTTGTAGGTGCACCAGCTGTGTGACATCGGTCTGGCCCTGTATCTGGTCTGTGAGCCAACACAAGTGTGTCTCCAACAGTTCCCAGCATGACTCCGTTGTCCAGGTAAGAAATGGTAATATTACTGTTTGCAGCAGGAGATACATTAAGCCTTTAGAACCTAAAAGTCTATACGTTTCTTCCTGGCGCTAGTAGTTTTTGGTGAAGGGGGGTCCAAGGGCAAGAAAAAATCTGAATCTCCCCTAATGGTATTAAAAATAAAGTACCCCCTACATTAAGGCATTCTCTAAGACAGGGGCAGGCAGGCAGACAACCTGGGCACTCCAGCTATGACAAAATGATGAAGCAAGGGGGAGGTGTTTGCGGTCCGGTCTTACGGTGACAATGATGCTCCTTCATAGATACATACGGGAAGCATTGTCACCTAGGACAGGAAATGTGTTACTGGCAGGATCACCAGGTGATCATAAAGGTAAAAGAAACATGAAAAAAGGAAATTAATTCCGCCAGCGCTTCTAAGGTAAGCTGCAATATGTTACATTTTTGTTCTTGGCTTTAGATACACTGTAACATTTGCAGGCTTCTGAGCTGTCATCCTCCCGAACAGCTGAGCAGTGGCAGCTCTCATATCCCTGTCCTGACAGGTTGCCTTTAAGAGACACTCAGCAGCGCACAGAGGAGAAGATATATTGCCCATTATCTCCCCGGCCTCCGTGTTAGGAAGGTGATTGCACGCACACAGGCTAATAAAGGCACTACCTGAACCGCGAGGACTCCGCCATAATCCCATTAAACAGCCCCTGTACCAGCCCTGAAATTGAATCTCTTCTTACCGTGCACTCTCAGCCCTTAATTAGAAAAGATGTCCAGAAAACTCATTATGTAATTATCCGCCGCATTAGACCCGCCAGCTGAAACATGTCCTGAGCTTTTTTTATTTTTTTTTCCTGCTCCGCTGACATGCGAATTGGCTGTTCGTTTACAAATGACAGGAAACGGCCATATATATTCTCGGATACATCTGAATAATGTGTTGTTTCCATCCTCCCCGTTCACAGATGTTTTTTTGACATGAAGAGATTCATTTTTTTTAATGCTCGGGGTGGTCCAGATCAAGCTGACCAAGTGATGTAGATAGGGAATGAGAGGGGTGAAAATTGGTTTGTGACTTAAAGTGAAACACCATTTTTTGGGGGGGCTTTTCCCCCTCCTGTGTTTTTTCCCCTCCAAGTTCTACTTACCATCTCCAAGCTCCAGCTCTGTCCCCAGCTTTCTCCTTGCGCTTGCACTGGCCGTTCCCATGTGGGAAATAAGCAGTAATGTCATTTTGCTTCTCCTCGACCAATTTATGTTGCTTCAATGCCAGACCTGCAAGTTCCTCTTCCACCGGTCTGCTTGTATATATTTGCCTTGAGTGCACCATGGCAGTTTTTACTCCTATGAGTATGGTGCCCACCGTTAGACATACTGTATATACACTGTATTGCCAAAAGTATTGGAACACCCCTCCAAATCATTGGATTCTGGTGTTCCGTGAATAACACTTCTCTGTCTGGCAATCTGATGGGCGTGTCTGGGTTTGGCGGTTGCCAGGAGAACGGTACTTGCCTGACTCCATTGTGCCGAGTGTAAAGTTTGGTGGAGGGAGGATTATGGGGGGGTTGTTTTTATCCCAATACTGAACCCTACGAACTAAGACTGGGATGTCATTAAAGTTCATGTGCGTGTAAAGGCGTCCCAATACTTTTGGCAATATAGTGTGTATGGTAAAGGAGTGCATATTTAATTGCTTGGCTGGCGTTGCACTTTAAGTTGATAACTTTATCGTTCTCAGATGGTCCGGCGTTTGTATTCCGAGAAATGTCGTCATTTTTCTTTCTCATGCGGGGTCAGGATCATAAGAATTGTTTGTGTACTGCTGGGGATATTCCCAGTCATTCTGTTTTCGTGGCTCATATGAAAAGCGAGTGACTTGTTAAAAAGGAAGTACGGCAATTCCAGCTGCATCTACACAGGAACAGTTGCAGCACAGTCAGAGTCCTGTATTTGTCAATCTTCGTGGGGCCTTTTTTGGCTGGCCCTTCAAGGAGCAAAATCTGACCTTACATGTTGCTGCAAGTCTATTGCCACCAATGCCATCAATAGACCACTGAGTGAGGATGTTGATAGAAGCCCAATTTGCGAGGCTATGAGTAGCTTTAGGCAAAGTGATCAGTTTCTTTGAAGTATATTAGAGTTGTATTACACTATATGGATACAAGTTTGCGGACACCTGACTATCACTCATGTTGATGGACATCCCATTCCAAAGTCTGGGGCATTAATGGAGATGTTGCCCTTTGGGGCTCCTCCACTCTTCTGAGAAGGCTTTCCACAAGGTTTAGGAAGTGTCTGTGGGCATTTGTGACCATTTGTGTGATCAGGTATCCATAGTGGATGAGAAGACCTGGGGTTCCAATTCATCCCAAAGGTGTTCAGTCTGGTTGAGGCGAAGGACACTCAAGTTCCTCCACACCAAACTGGTCAAACCATATTGGATGAGAAGTCCTGGCTCATAATCAGCCTTCCAGTTCATCCCAAAGGTGTTCAGTAGGGTTGAGGACACTCAAGTTCCTTCACGCCAAACTTATCAAACCATGTCTTTATGGAGCTGGTTTTGTGCACAGGAGACAGTCATGGTGGAACAGAAAAGGGCCACCACCAAGCTGTTACCTCAATTTTCTAAAATGTCTTTGTATCCTATACCGTTAACAGGACCCTTCATTGGAGACACCTGAACTCCATCGTTTGTAGGGAGGTCCACCTACTTTTAGTGTGATTGTCAGGTGTCCACAAACTTTTTGCCATATAGTGTCCCTGTGGATCCTGCTAGTAGATCAGTTCAGTTTCCACTTCCTTTAATAGGGTGACAATGCCGTTTATTCTGCAGTGAAATCACAGCAGCGTTGTCACCAGACAGGTTAATCCTAGATGAACATGTACTTTTAAAAGGAGTTTAAGTAAGCAACCAAACAACTTAAAGCTCAACTCCAGGTAACCCTTTCAGCCAGTTACAGCAGCAGGTTCAGAAGGAAGGTTTAAACCAGTGGTAGGCAAACTCCAGCCCTCCAGCTATGGTGAACCTACAAATCCCATTATAGACGTGCCTCTGGGAGTCATGCTTGTGGCTGTCAGAGTCTTGTAATGCCTCATGGGACTTGTAGCTGAACCTCAGCTGGAGGGCCGGAATTTGCCTACCCCTGGTTTAAACCATGAAAATAAAATCTGACCATTATCAGTATAATAATTTGTTCCAACCCCCGCCGCCCCCCCCACACACACACACACACACACACACATAAATCTCACTTTTGCTGGACAGCTTGACCTGCACGGGGAAATAAAATATAAATAGAATCCAGTTAAATATTCTGAATACTGTAATTAGAGATGCTGTATAATACATGCAGATATCAGAATACATTATTGTTCACTGTACTGCGCCTTTAAGTGAAAAGATACCCAGAGAATTCATATCCTGAACTTGTTTCCTGTTTGTATCTATAAATTATTCCTCACTTCCTCTTCAGGACCCTCTTCCTTCCTCTCCCTCCCGTTCCCCCTCGTACAACATCCATAATGCCGTCGTTGAGCGCCCATTGTCAGTTTTCATTAGCAGCCTTTGTCCGGGTCCGGGGGGAATGCAGTTATTCTTGGTGGAGAGTTGACCTGTCAGTGAAGTGATCTCACAGCCTATGACCACAAGACTCCGCCATTGTGAA